TGGATTGCTGAATTAGTACATAACATTAAATGAAAAGCCTGAGAGATTACTCCGTTTTACTTGGCAGAAATATTATAGATTAATAAAAAGAGTCAATTTTACATGAGAATGATGTATCTGAATATACATGTAGACATCAACTTAGAGAATGTCCATATGTAGCTCATGTAGGAGTTAGAGAAATATGGGCATCAGATATCCTGATATCTGGGCTGACTTTCCAAATGTTGCATTTTTCCACCAGCCAAAGAGATCCATAGATCTTTCTTTCAGATTTTGCTAATACCTCCTGGGTCCTTGGCTTCATTCTCAGAGACGTTTCTTGCTTGTCCACTCCTTCTAGGTACAAGCCTGGTCTAACAGCCACATCTGTTCCAACACCATAGTAATTTTCTGAATAGACTTTGGGCCGAAATTCTTTCATTTGGGGTGGGGGCAAGAGGTCCCAGTAAGGGGACAGGTGCTCCCAGCTGTAGAATTGCTGAAGTTCCCAGCTGGGGGGGTAGGAGGATATGGTTGGGGGGGCTATAGCAGTCTCAGACTGGGGCGGGTGCAGGAGGGTGGGAGGGTCAGCAGGTTCCAGCTGGGGGAAGGTGAGGGGGGGTCTGGGTAGGGGGGGCAGGAGGGCCAGGACACCTCCACCCCCTCACCAGCCAAGCTTCTCATCCATACTGCAGTCACATAGGATTGCGTAGAAGGGGTGCTGGGCAGGGGGCTGGAGGGGGGCAGCCACAGGGGGAAGATCAGAGCCACCACTATTTCCCTTCCACAGTGCAGCCCCATCGGCACGGGCAGAGATGGCCCCAGGACAGCCTTTTCCCTTCCGCAGCGCACAAGGGAACTTCTTTTGTTTGTGGGATTGCCTACGCCGGCAGAGGAAGTGACGGAGGACCTCATCGGAGCAGGAAAAAAGGTGTCCCATGGGTCCGATCAGGAGTGGGAAGGGGGGGCATTTTTGCCATGCATCAATTAGTTCTCTGAACTCAAAAGAAATTAGCAACCGGTTCTATAAAACCGGTGCGAACCGACTGAATCCCACCACTAGCTTTATCCACCAACATGCTCTTTATTTATGTTACCCTAAATAGTTGCGAACTTGTGGTTTTGCACAAGCATTTTGCATTCAGTAATGTGAATACTTTCATACCATGTTACAGTAATGTCTGCAGACTGGCGTGAAAGAATATAACCCACATAAACATTGGTATGCTTACCTGTCAATAAACTTAATAAGATCACTTGATTTTCAATTCAGCATTGAAAAGTTTCCATAAGCTCTTAATATCTTAGAATGCCATATAAATAAAAGCAATTAATTCTTATTTACATGGCACTTTGTTGTGTTTAATGACAAATATATCAGTTAACTAAAAACAGCTACAGTAATGATCTCTCCATAACTTGCTAGTAAGACATATTGCACATTCAGATATTTAAGAATACAATCTTGGAAGATCTACTTATCATGATCTGCTCTTCCATTATGAGATAAAAAAATTGCTTGAGATATGACAAGTGAAAGTAGACAACACAGAACTAGATGAAAAAATAATCTGACAAAATTTAAATTAATTTTCTATTTATTTAGATCTCAACTAGAGGGCACTACCTAGCCAACTTAGATTGATATAAGAAACTATGTAAGATGAGTGGCTGTTTAGAAATTCCTGAGCTAGCATGGGAAAACCAAACCAGGTCTGACAAGGTCATGACAATAATAATAATAATAATAATAATAATAATAATATAATAATAATAATAATAATATAGTATAGTATAGTATAACATAACATAACATAATATAATTAATATAATGTAATATAATTTATATAATATATAATATAATATATACTATAATATGTAATATATATAATATAATATATAATAATATATCTAATTAATTAAGCAAACTACTGATTCTAAACGACTCACAGTGATTTACAATGCAAGTAATCCATAAAACCTAGAATTTACAATTATAAACCCATAAAATAATAATTACAATAATAACATTTAAACAATATAATAATACAAAGTATTATTTTAGTTTGGCACAAACTAAACCAGACATTCAAAAATGTGCAAGAGACTATTTGAGCACCCTTATATAATTACGGGTGCAAATTGGGCCTCTGGAGGTGTCAAGCAGGCAAATTCAGGAAACAAGAACCACTTGGAATTCTAAAAAGAACTTTATTAGTAGTAGGATAATGCAATAGAATCTTGAACTGTCAAAGCAGTTCTTCAACTTATATCTAGTATAATTAAGCCAGAGTCACTTAAAGTTGTTTTTACATTTTCCCTCTCCCCTGGACTATGGAATCTTTTCTATAACAACCCTGCTTCCTTTGGTAATGATTTTGCTCCCTCCTCAGTATTCCCAGAGTCTTTCATCAAAGCAGGAGAAGCTGCTCCAAGGAGTGAGGGCCACTGTGGAAAAGCTCTGCCTTTGAGTCACCTATCTCATTGTTTCTCAACCTCAACTACTTGGAAGATGCCTGGACTTCAACTCAACAAAGCATGGCTGGCTGGCTGGGGAATTCTGGGGATTGAAATCCCAGCCAAGGTTAAGAAACACCAACCTTTCTCATATCCTACATACTGTATATGGAACATCAAGCATTCCCAACTGAGGTGGATACACCTGAACGACACTGTCCTCTAATCAACAACAACAATATTTTTATGCTTTTATTTACTATCCTGGGTTAAGACTAAAAGAATGTAGACTTCCTAGTGCATTTATGAACTGGAGACTTCCCATTATGCCATACTAGTTCTCCACAGAGGCTTCTTGTCTTCTACTATTAAATGCTACCTGCTCAAAGAGAAATCAATATTATTTCCTCAAGGGAACAATAGCTGTGTTTATATTTAAACATTCCCACAGTTTACTGTACATGAGCCTCCAAGTGGAACCAGAAACAGACTACAGGGTGCAAAAGGCAGCCAAAGATAAAAGCGATCATTAAAATGGACAAAAAAACTCTCTAGGAATGAAGCCATTTATACTGAAATATAACAGGAAGGTTATTTTTTTTTTAACTAAAGGCCTTCCAGGTAACAAATGAAATAACAAAACGTGACTATGCATTCACTCAAACACAACTGCAAATTTGAACTCTATTACTTCTGCTCTAATTTTTGCCATCATGTATGGAGGAAGGTATGATAGAATCTACACAAGGCTTGTTTAATTCCATGTATTCCTTTCCCATGCCACCCCCCAAATCCTGCCACTTCAGTGCAACTTCATCTCCTGTTAACATTTGATTAATGGTGCTTTTTTATGATTCCCAGTGCTTGTGTTTTATGTTATGATTCTTTGTATTATATGTGTTTTATTTATTTTACTGTAAGCTGTCCAGAGTCATGTAAATCAAATAAATAAAAAACCCTATGAATCTATTTGGCTGCTTATTCATTTTTATATGGTCTATATGGAGTTACATGGTCTAGAACTTCACAAAGATACATATTTTCTTTCCCTTTTTTTAAGCTTCTGTCACCATTAACTATGTTCCTGTCATGTATCTGCTACATTATAAATAAGGACTAGTACTTCAGAGTAGGAGGAAGAAGGGAAGGCAGTAAAGAGAAAAAAATTTCTATACATTCTATGTATTTTCTAATAATCCACATTGTTTATTTCTCCTACCTTATATATTTGTCAATTTGCGACAAAAATCCAATACCTAAATCATTGAATATTGGCAGAATATCATTAGAATTTAAGCAATAAAATTTAAAAGTATTGAAAAAGAATTGCAAATGACTCCAGGTGCACTAGAAGAGCCAATAAATATGTTGTCCTGGGTAGAAATTATCTATCTTCTTTTCACACTTACCTTTGCAGCAACAAATTTTTGTATTGAGCACATCCCATTTCCCTTTTTTATGAACACGCTTGAAACACTGGCATTCAGTAAAGAGAACAGAACACTGGGAAAGTATTCAGAATTTTATGTGAAACATCCGCATACTATGAAGTTTGTGCGGAACAGAAATAACACATACTTCCTGCTCCAAAGAGAATAGCCCTCATGGCCAATTCAGTTTCTGATTTGCACCTTATATTCACTGGATTCCATATATTGTATTGGCAAAACATACTGCATTTCCAAACAACTTATTTGGCAACAAATACTGAAAAATCAACAATCTCCTTGGATTTAAATTAATTTGAATATTTATTAAATATTGTTTATCCTTTTGGCACCATAATGTCTGTAAGTTGCTGAAAGGAAAATTAAACCTTCATATCTCACTTGATGTGCTTGAGGAAGACAGGCATTCAAGAGAACATGCTTGCATTGTGCAGTCACTATTTCCATTTCCACTAGATTCATGCAACATAAATTCTTACATAAATTTCCAGTATGAACAGTTATTTGAGTCTTACTGTACTATTTCTTTCCTCTCATTTTAAAGTTAAGGTAATTTCTGCATTTCTTTTTTTTTAGACATTATATGTAGCTAATTTAGATTTCTACATGGTTATCCAATAAAGTGAGCATCTCTTAAGCCAGGATGCTTTCACAATTAACCTACAGCATATTTAAGCACAATTGCATAGGTTCATTATACAAGACAGACTGTGGCTGTCTGCCTAACACTTTTATTTAGTAAGTTGACTGACCATAAACTGCCTACTGTAGGCTGCAATACTGTTGTTACAGTAAAGATGAGAAGTTCCATAGTAAGTATTATATGTCAAAGTGCTCAAAACACTGATGACTTAGTTGAAGCTGATACATATCTCTTCCTCACTGCAAAAAGTTCTACAATTTCCTTTCTTTTCTTTCCACTGCCAAATGCCATATGGCAAGTGTTCATCTATAAATTATAGGCTGTGTTTCTTACAAATAGCAAGGTAGGTACTGTTTTTTTTAAATAAAAACATTTGTATGGACTACAAATATATTTAGAAGTAACATCTTAACATTTTACATATATATTAATAACCAGAAACTTTATTTTCAAAGGAAAATTATCTATACCTTTACTTCTACCTATATGGCATGAAGTTGTATGTCCATATAAGCACAGGTACGGAGAAGTGTCCATCAGAGAGAAGGCAAGAGAAAAGAACAGAAAGAAAGACATAATAAAAAAAAAAAATTAGATCACACTGCACATCACTTGAACATAAACCATTGAACACAGCACAAAGGAAACAATACTCAAAAGCACACATATTAAAACAAAAAAAAGTAGAATCACAAACCACACACAGTGCAGATTAAAATATAATCTTTAACTCTTTAACTCCAATTTTATATGGAGAAAGGCCAAGCTCTTATTATAGAGGCATGTTAAAAATCCAGCAAAACACATCAAAATGACCATAAAGAAAACAAGGTTAAGACAAAGAAAAAAAGAAAAGTATTCCGTGGAAATATGTTTTCCACCTACCTACAATGGTGTAGGATGAATAGCTTGCATAGTTGTACTGGATGTATAAAGGCACACTGAATTTTATATTATATTCCCACTGTATATAATATGTATTTAAAAATAAACCATTTACACAAAGACATTAGCATGTTACACACTCTATATAATTTTGATGAATTTAGGAAAGAATTAGCTGAAAAGATAAATATAGGTGTTCAACAGATTAAGAAAGAGAAATGAAAGAAGTGTCAGAGGTTCTTAGCCTAATGAGTAAATAGAAGGAACATGAAAGAAAACAGCCATGTTTAGAGGTAGTCTAAGGAGCCAAGATTGCCTTTAAATTGAATGAACTGCAGCTTATCAACTAAAAAAACCCAAATTCGTTTGGCCTATGCATTACACAGTTATTTTTGCTTAGCAAAATAGTATATCTGCCCATTTCAGTTTAACATGAAAACCACACTACTATGCTTATTTAACAAATCGAGATTTAAAAAGTGCTGGCTTAATGCAGCATGTATGCAATATGTCCTACTGGCCAGCACATTCATCAATATTCCAAACTAGCTAAATAAAAGTGTACACTTCTTCATTATTAAAATGACTGGCTTATAGAAAAATACTCTGCAAATGTATCTCATAGCAAAGTATGCAAGAATCAGATATCTGTGTCACCTTACTGTGATATAAGCACTGCTGATTTCATCCTTACTTTCTTTCCAGATTATTTTTAAAAAGTGACAACAACAGTGTAAAGGGGGTTATCAGCTCCCAAACTGTGCCATCTATCAAAACATGGATAACCTGCCATATGACATATTTTTATTTGTTTTAATGCAGCTAAAGTGGAACACTTGTATTCCATTTTGAATTTTATACAGTATACACTTATACATCTTAATGTTGTGATTCCAGCTCAACCGCCTTGCCTGGTCTGCTGCTTGATAAGATAAAAATTAAGATACAACCCAATTATTATTATGGTTGGGCGCACAGTCAGCCAGATATTTATAGACTGGGTTTGGCATATATACGCAAATAAATACCAAGTGCTTCCCAAGGACCTGGGATAAGCAGATGTTGTTGTCTGCTGGTGTTAAAGATTCCATTGCAGGATGTAAGCTATTCCAAGTAAAGCTGCCTTTTGCAATTGACTGATGGTGATTTTGTCAATGCTGATGATGTTCAAATGGTGCTCCAGTTGTTCTGAGATTGAAACCTATAAGCCTATCGCTATTAGCACTATCTTTGCTTTATTTTGCCACAATCATTCTACTTCTATTTGCAGGTTTTGGTATTTTGTATTATTATTATACCACCTAACTTCCAGCAACATGTCTATCTAAATATTTCATAATCTCATATGAAATACTCAAACAGCTGTGTCATTTCTTTATGATCAGCATAACACCAATGTACCTGTTCTGCGATTTTCAAATAATGCAACACAATAGACAACTCAAATTCAATAAGCATGATTCCTGTTTTAGAATTAGCTCTTTCTGCAGACCAAGTCTACACACCAAAATATGTATAAAACTATAAAACTGCTGCAAAGTGACAGGAAAATGACTGCAAATGTTGCCTCCCAGGTCCTTGATCGATGCCATGAAAATTGTTATCACAATCTTACATATCACTAACTAATTTTGAAGGCCAGTGACTAACAAGTCACTGTACTAGAGTTGAAAACATGAAAGTAATGCTTCCATATAAGAGAATGAAAATTTTGCATTTCTCCTCCAATGTTTCTTTTATATGTATATATTCATTTACTCCAATACATTGGACTTCGGGTCATGAAAATTATTTTCTGTAGAGTCTGGCAGTCTGGCAAATGGGTGATACAAATGCAAAAGTTTGAAGAAGATATATAATATCTGATTGTTTTCCAAAAGGGTTGCTTAATGAAGCTTTAATTAGTTGCTGAGGAAGGCAGGAAAGAAAAGACTTACCTTGCTCGCTCATCATCAGATGTGAAAGGCCTTTGAGAAACAGAAAGAAAGTAAATAAGACAGAATAAAGCAGAAAGAAAACACAGGAAAACATATATACCTTTATATAGTTCAATAATTTGGGGAATATCACATACTTCATCAATGAATGCATGGCTGTTATATTCCTTGCATGCATGCACACATACACACACATGCACATGCCCAGAGCTTCCTCTATTACAGGAGAAAATCTGGGCTGCAGAGAAAAAACAGGAATACAGGTAGTCCTCAACATACGATCACAATTGAGCCCAAAATTTCTGTTGCTAAATGAGACATCCGTTAAGTGAGTTTTGCCTCAGTTTACAACCTTTCTTGCCACAGTTGTTAAGTGAATCACCACAGTTGATAAGTTAGTAACACAGTTGTTAAATGAATCTGGCTTCCCCATTGACTTTGCTTGTCAACAGATTACAAATGGTGATCACAGTTTGATCACATGATCATCAGGATGCTACAAAGGTTGCAAGTGTGAAAAACGGCCATAAGTCACTTTTTTCAGTGCGATTGTAACTTTGATCACCAAATGCATTGTTGTAAGTCGAGGATACCTGTACACATTCCATCAGTGTCAGTGAGACTGATTTTAAGAAAAGATATACACTCATAATTAGTTGTTTGTGTTAAGTACAAGCCCTGGAAGGAAAAGTAAGACAACTTATAACGGTTTTGAAGACAATCATCCTCATTGTATTGTAAATATTATAAAGGTGTCATGCCAAAATTTTAGTGCATGCTCTTCATTAAAAGCTTATCATCCACCATTAACCTCAAAATACCACTGCAGTTCTAAAACCAATTTTAATTCATTTTGATAGCATGTCAGGATATCAAATTAATCCATCAGATTTCCCAACAACTACTAGCCTTTAGATTAGTAATTTCAACAGTAATGCAAATGCTCTTGAATAAATGCTTTGAAACATACAGAAGTACATTTTGAAATCATTAACACAGCCACATGTTTTCTATGTTCATGGGAGAAGTTTCTGAAGCAGCCTGGGGAAACCATAGCTGTGTGAAAGATTTGAGAAATGTTTTCTATGGATCTCTGGGTGTTCCAAAGCATCTCTTTCAAAGGATTTGCACAGCCCTAGTAATGTAGTCATCTTTTCTTATTTCTTTACTTCTAAAAACTTAAATCCAAACTGTTCAAAGTAAATAAATATTCATCCAAAAGAACTCTTGAATTGATGGGGTCGCGATGGGTCGGACACGACTTCGCAATTAACAACAACAACAACATGCACACATATGTATAATTCTTAATTCTTGCAATTAAGAATGTTGTGTGTGTGTGTGTGTGTGTGTGTATCTATGTGTGTGTGTGTTGGAGAATGGAGGAAGGAAGGTAGATAGAATTAACAAAAAGTACAGTGAGAAATTCTTATTTCCTTGATTATCAATGCAACAGCTTTACTGGGTTAAGATATGTTCCCAATTTTTGGTTTGAATAAACTGTAAGACATTATTGAATTGCAGTATTTTTACTTCATCTGTATGCCAGTGTACAATTCAATTTAAGGTTGAAATCATGATAGCATAGGAAAAAATGATGAAAATAATGATAGTTCAATAGTGTAAAATCATTTTTAAAAGTAAGCATAAAAATTTGAAATATGTGATTACAGAACAAATGCTTTTAGAATAAGTGCTGCTGTTTACCTAGTTTCCGTTTACCTAGTTTGAATTTATTTTTGCAGCTTGTTGTTTAATTTAGATAGAAGAGTGGGCAATGCTGAAAAAAAATACTGAAGCATAAAGGAAATTATTTTAAGGTTAAGTTGAATATTTAACTGTGATATGACAAGGCTAAGTTTAATATAGACTTAACAACAACAACAACAACAACAATAATAATAATAATAATAATAAAGTTGGAAGGAACTTTGGAGGTCTAGTCTAACCCCCTGCTCAGGTAGGAAACCCTATACCATTTCAGACAAATGGCTGTCCAATCTCTTCTTAAAGACTTCTGATGTTGGAGCATTCACAGCTTCTGGAGGCAGGTTGTTCCACTGGTTAATTGTTCTAACTGTCAGGAAATTTCTCCTTAGTTCTAGGTGGCTTCTCTCTTTGATTAGTTTCCATCCATTGCTTCTTGTCCTGCCTTCAAGCGCTTTGGAGAATAGCTTGACTCCCTCTTCTTTGTGGCAGCCCCTGAGATATTGGAACACTGCTATCATGTCCCTTGCATGTTTTACCATTCAGCCACACAGTATTTTCAGACACAACCTGAGTTTATATCTATTCTATGTTCTCACTATGACATGTCTAACAAAATGATTTTTGAAGAGCAACAAAGATGATTAGGGGACTGGAAGGTAAAACATACAAGGTACGGTTGCTGGAATTGGGTTATGTCTAGTTTAATGAAAAGAAGGATGAGGGGGGACATGTGTGGCTGAATGCTCCAACACTGGATGTTTTTAAGAAGAGACTGGACAGCCATTTGTCTGAAATGGTATAAGGTTTCCTGCCTGACTAGATCACCTCCAAGGTACCTTCCAACTTTATTATATTATATTATATTATATTATATTATATTATATTATTATTATAACATATTATGGCATATGTATATACTAAAATTTGAAATAGAAACACAAGTGAAAGAATGTATGATAAACTGGGCTAAAAATTTTGGTTATAACATACAAATAGAACATGATAATATGAACATGAAAGGGTTGATATTGTATAATAATCTTGAAGAGAGTTGGTATTTTCCACCAGAAAATCTGTCTAAAATGTATACAGGTACTTCAAATCTATGCTGAATGTGAACAAGAGGTGACTTTTTATCATGACTGGTAGACATGTAAAAAAAAGCTAAAAAATGGATCTAGGTATATACATTAATCCAGATGATTTTAAATATACAGTGAAGTCATAGGAACTTTTGGGACTGACAAAAAAATTAGAAAAAGAAGTCCCGAAACTGTTTTTATATAACATAACTGCAGTGAGACTTTTATATGCACAACAGTGGAAAAATTTGACATTATCCACAATGGAAGAATGGATGGTGAAAATGATTGAGCTTGCAGAGATGACTAAATTAATAGCCTTGATTAGAAAAAAGATCTTAAGTTTAATACCAATAAGTTTAATACTTTTGGACTTTTTGCTCAAAAAATAAAATAAAATGATACATGGGTTTGGAGAATAGAAAAAATATTACATGATAAAAAATGAAAATTATTTTGTATCCATAGAATAAAAGTTTAATTGAAATTTATATCTATAATTGCTGTAAAAGAAAATTGGAAATCATTTCTTTACGTTTCTTTATTTTCCACTTTTGGTTTTCCTCTTTCTTTTTTCTTTCATCTTAAATATTAGTTTATGTTAGTTTTTATCTTTCTTGTTTAAAAATCTAATAAAGTTATTATAAAAAAAGCCAGATTTAATCACGATAGACCTCAAAGCACTGCTTTCAGGAATTAAAGCTATCTCTTTTTAAATATAAATATGCAGTTCCACTTTCCATATTAAAGAAAAGAATTACATATTGCTAATTGTGCAAAGTGCTTAAGGCCAACCTTTGGATCTATATGAACTCAGACTCTTAGAAGGATTTTTTTAAAAGTAGCTTCAGAGGACAATTATATGAAAGAATGATGTGCTGAAACACAGGCCGTGTTCTTTAAGGACTTATAGGGGGCATTTCTGTGGATTGGGTACTCAAAATAGAAACCTTGGAACTATCATCTTTTTTTATCAATGTTAATTATGGCCAGGCTCTTAGCACTTACAGAGCAGGAAATTAAAGCCACTAAACATAAAGGAGTAGAAGTGCATTAAAAAGCCAGTTTAAAATGACAAGTGATTGAGGCCAAGAAGGACGATACAGTCTTTTTGTTCTTCTTAATTATAGCTTGTCTTGTTAAACTCAGCCCATGCTATGTTGGGTGGAGGACTTTTTTATGTCAGCTAGAACAAAGAGACTGTGTCAGCATGATGGAAGACGTATGGTTCTATTTAGTTCCACAGACTACTGTTTTTACCTATGAATGACAGCAGGGAAGAATTATGGAACAAACCTAAAGCACAGTGAAAAATGAGTCTTCTTCAGTACTACTGTGTTCTGGTTTCTGTTCAGTGATGGAACTGGGTCCAATCAGTGATGGAAGGGAGAAGAGATAAAGAAAAGCTACTTGAATGACCTGACAGGTGAACCTAGATTAAAAGTTTCAAAACAACTTCACAGAATTTCCTTCCAGATAAAAATGAGGAAACACATGACAGAGAAAATGCTTTTGAAGAATTTTGATTTCTTTATCTCTGTACATACTGTACAAGAACATAGCCTCTAAATTTATGGTGTTCATTTGGTAAAACAGTGGTTGTGTTAGAAGACAAACTTATCTAAATCATTAGTATTATTATTGTTAGATTTTTATCCTGCCTTTATTATTTTTATAAATAACTCAAGGAGGTATATTACTTATACCTCCTGTTTCCCCACAACAACAACCCTATGAGGTGGTTGGGCTGAGAGTGACTGGCCCAAACTAATACATGGTAGTTAAGGGTATATGATCCTGAATAGGGGCCAGCCAGCCTGGAACCACTTCCAATCAGTTACAAGTAACAATTGTGCTATTCTGGTTTTTTCACATACCTAATTGAGACTTTTTAAGTAAATCTCTGTCAACTTCAGAGGCAAAAATAGTATCATGCAGATTAATATAAAGCTATCTTTTTATATTTAATATCCTCCCAACAGAACAGCTTTCTTAACTTTGGGAAAGTTGTTCAAAGTAATCTCAACTATTTTTTTCATGAGCAAGTTTGAAAATGGGTGCACTTTCTGTTGCATTACCCTTACCTATTTTTAAAATATAATTTTAAGAATTTTGATTGCAATTGTAAAAATCAATGCACATACAAACACAATATATTTGTTTCCAAAGTAGATTGTAAATGTATGTGCTTTGGATTTTAGGTTATTACATTATATCAGTGGTTCTCAACTTGTGGGTCGGGACCCCAATTTGGGGTCAAATGACCATTTCACGGGGGTCGCCAAACCACGCTGTCCGCCATTTTTTCCCTTTTCCCTAGCTGTCCTACTCCCTCTTATTGGTGGCCACACCCATGTGGGGGTCACCACAACATGGGGAACTGTATTATGGGGTCACGGCATTAGAAAGGTTGAGAACCACTGCATTATATAATAACCTTTGCTATTGAACTGCAGTATTTAGTATTTTTACACTGTTGTCATAAAAAAGAGGAGGCATAAATATTAAATGAAGTTAAATAATATGTCTCTAAATCAGGTCAGATAACACACTAAATGTGACACTAGTTATACAAATCCCATGGGTTTTATTCTTGGTTTAAGATCTAAGACAATTTTAAAGAGACTTGAGAAACAAAATAGTGATTATTAAAAGTGAAAACATATTTATGGTGATAAGAAAACCAACACAGCAAGTAGCCATACATGCAGCACTGGTAACAGAAATATCAGTCCAAAAAATTAAAATGACTGGCATGAAAATGAGGAATTCACTCCAATTAAGTTTCATTTCACACAATTTTGGCAGCCCTGGATTACAGAAACCCTGGGGATACCCATTTGGCTACAACCAATGCTAGACCTTTCATGAGGAGCTTGTATTATTGAACAATAGTTTGGGCCTGTCTACTTGATTAGTTAATCAATGAAGCTAATTTATTTAGTTATTAGATTCTATATACTTCTGGCTATTAAAAACTCAGTGTGCATCTTGCAGCTGGATTCTACTGTCAGATCATTGTTACTGCACTGATAGTAACACTGCTACTTTTGAATCAAATTATAATTTTTACATCTGAAATTTACCAATGAAGTTAAATATATGAGTTCTTTAGCATCATAAAGACTATCAAATGTATTATGTGTTCATGGAATAAAGTTCACTTCATCAAGTACATCATACTTCAATATAGAGACAGTGATAAAACAGATGTCATAAGTGATAGAATTTCTTTTAGAGTTATGCCATACTGCATTGTGTCAGTAGCTCCTATTTCCTTATTTCCTGTTCATAAAGGATGTAAGTATAAGAAGGAAAAATCAAATTGCCTAAGCACATAAGAAAGAGGAATATAAATATAATTTCTTGACTTGATTAAACAAAATGACTACAGAGGTGTTTGATTGAATTTGAAAGGCCCTTCAGTTCCCAAAGCAGAGAGAAGGAGCATTTAGAAATGAAAATAAAATTGAACAATAAAAATGATTGAATCAATAACAGTGATTGAGTTCACAAAAAACTATTCAATTAAAAGTTAAACTAAAAGCCTCAAGGGGTGAACAATTTAAAAAGAAAAAAAGGGGGGGGGAAAGGCTACAGCATCTCTCTTGGATGGAAAGTCCAAAGTTTAGGCATGGTTAAGACAGAAAGAGAGAGTGTGTAATTTATTTCTCCAATTGATATTATACAAACAAGGGCCTCCTTTGGGATTCTTAATTCAAGGACAAGATAATATAATAAATAGATAGTTGCAAGTATGAAAAAAGGTGGTGTGGATATTAGATAAATTTGTTCTGAAAAAGATGAGAATAAAGTGAGAGTTATTGCTGAAATAAAACTAGGCATAACACAAAGACCCTTCTAATGTCTTTCTTTATGTATGGTGCCTATTAGAAAAATAAGTAACAGCAAGTAGGCATTCTACACTATATGTAAATACAGATACAGATGATAGTAGTTCTTTCATTAACCTCCATGCTGTGGTCTCCAGATGGAAAAACCACAGCTCTTCCAGCTTGTATCAATACCATCTGTATGGCCTGCTAAATTATTTCTCTTTGATGCTGAACACTATAACAAAGTGTTCACCTGTGTTTACCTTTTTTCTTTATTTTCCAGCTTAATGTTTGTTGTATTATTTAGAGAATTAACTTGGGAGCAAGAACTCACTTTTTCCTGTTCTTTATAGGCCAGTCTGGGAATCTGAAGTTGAAGACAAGGTAGGATAGTCTAAATAAATAAGTCAATAAATATTTTTTTCTCACTTAAAAGTTTCTTGACCTGCTTCTATCATGATCAAAGTAAGCCATCAGTGATGGGCTGTCATAATTCAGATGGGCCAGTAGAATCAGGACAACTTCTGTCCCAACTTATGGAGACACTGGATCTAAAACATAACACCACACATGAAGGAGGCACTTTCACGTCAAAAGATCATAAAGTCAAGAGTAATAAATCATGATCCCTGGGCTATATCCAACAAAGAAGTAAAGATCCTTATTTATCTATATTTATATATTTATTAGATATTTAACCCACCTTTATTACTTTATAAATAACTCTAGGCAGTGAACGTACATAATATTCCTTCCTCTTCTTATTTTGCCCACAGCAACAACCCTGTGAGGTGGGTTGTGCTGACAGAGAGTGACTGGCTTAAAGTCACCCAGCTGACTTTCAATCCAAAGGCTGGACCAGAAGTCATAATTTCCTGGTTTCTAGACCACCACTTAACCACTACTTCAAACTGGATTTTTAATACAAACAGCCTCACATGGTACTACTAACACTGTTAATAATTAGATGGACTATGGATAGAATTGAAATATGATAGAACATTACATGCAGGGTAGATAATTATTTCCAGTAATTGTAATGTCCTTTTTCTAGCACAGAGGCAAGGCCTAAGATAATAATATCAATAGAATATTGGTCAGGGTTCCTTCTAGCACTGATGATGTTACGTAGTTGGGTAATGAAATGTCTGCAACAAAACAACCAACTCAAGAGAGCACCAAGGATCTGAATAGTAATACAGAATGAAATATAAGGCTATCAGAAGTTTCTCAAAGACCTCCCTGGTATCTGTCCAGGGTCCTGAAGAAAAGTCTCCAATTACTATCTGAGTTCTGGCACTATGTTCAGGGCCATGTTATAAATCACTTGTTCCTTTAGATTCCTTTAGTTTCATTCTTATTAGGACTGCTCAGAAATCCTTCACTCTTTTTTTCCAAAATTTCTGACCTTGAATATCTCTTAAAATGGAGCTGCAATTTTAAACAGCAAAATGTCATTCAGCATCACAGTCTGGTTTGGAAGCATCACTGCTTCAGACAGGAAGGCAATGCAGAGAATGGTAAGGGTGATTGAAAAGATTGTTGGCAGTTCCCTTCCTTCCATACAGGACATGGCATATAAGCGTTGCTTGAGCAGGGTCCGCAAGATTGTCTGGGACATTACACATCCTCTTCGCAACCTGTTATCCTTGTTACCTTCTGGGAGGAGCCTCCATGGTATCCAAAGCAGAACATCCAGATTCAGTCACAGTTTTGTTCCATACAGTATTAACCTTGTGAACTCTAAAGCTTCCTACTTCCATTATGTATTAAAGATAGACAGTGATTAATATTTATATGTTATTTATATGTAAGGATGTAGGTCTACATATATGTTGTATATAGTATGTTTAAATGTGTGTTATGTATGTGTACACTTTGAGAACAAAGAACTAAATTTCATTTTTAATGTGTGCCAATGTGCCCACAATAAAAAATGACAATAAAAGTTATCTATCTATCTATCTATCTATCTATCTATCTATCTATCTATCTATCTATCTATCCATCTATCTAAAAAAGTGCTTCTTTGTTCAGTTTGTATATTGCCTTTTCTTCTATAGATTGTTTAAAATTACAAAATAATCTAAAGCAGTTAAAGCCTAATTAAGAATTAAAGTATAAATTCAACTCAAATTGTCTGATAGAAGAAGAAACCATTAATCAACCATTCTATGCTGAACACTGCACCTCTCTGGGGATGATTTCAAATTCTTTTTTAAAACCTGAGTTGTGTAAAACATCTAATTTTGAATCCCTACTTCTATCTCCTATCTGTTGCATAATAAAGCTTCCTGTGTCACAGGAAAAATAGAGCAATCTGGCTGGCATTGTGCAATAGGTCTACAGACTTCAATGAAAGATAAATCAAAGTTATGAAATTAGGGTTGCACAGTAGAATGGAACAGTGGAATAAGCACAGGAATTGGTAGTGAGTGTTCATTTTGGATGAATATTACCTTGAAGTGGAGAAATGAATTAATGAATTTAATTATGAATTAAATGAATTTAGCCTGTCTTCATTAACTATATTGCACCATGACCAATTTCTGGGCACTAATTATTACATTTTGATTTTTCAGTGTGTTACTTCTTTTATCAGTTTACATTTCATAAAGTTCTTGGAAATTTCTATGTGGTATTAGCAAAACATCAAGTGTTGACTTTAAGGGCAACATTTCATTTGAAATGGATTAGAAAGTGACAGTGAATCCATATTATTTCTTAATTTGTATTGCAGTTGCTGTGCAGAGTATTTTGTCACTTCATTGTGTGCTTTCTAAGAAAATAACTACTACACCTCCACATTTGTGTATACCATAATGTGTTTATCTAGTACAGCTGATGAAATGCCTGTCAATTGACTGAAATATGTGTTCTAGACCTCACAACTGAAATTCTTCCTCGTTGCCATCCTTAGAAGGCAGCTTCCCACACTCTGGCAAGCCAAACACTCACCTGGAACATGACTGGCATCTGATGAAACATTTTCATAGGAAGCAGGAAAAGGGAAGAAGCAAAGAAAGAGAGAAAGAGAAAACATATTAGAAACCCACATGCATACACACCAGCAGCTTAGCTTCTTTGCATGGAAATCAGTTACATGCAAAACCAGAAATGTGTTTTAAAAAAATCATTCATCCTCAGCCATCTGCCCCATCATGCAAGGGAAAAGGGCTTGGATCCCCTCTCCCCTGTGCATGTAGAAATTAATCAGATATCACATCTGTCTGGAGAGAGAAAGAAGTTCCAGAATCAGATAGCTCCAACACAGAGACCTGCAAGAATATTGGTTAGAATATTCTGTGGTATTTATTTCACAAATAGATTTTAAAAAGGAAAAAAAAAGACTGTCCTCACAGAATAACAGTTCTATTTTCATAAATTCATGAACTTATAAGTAATATTGGAGAAAAAGGCAAATTGTTTCCCCTTCCGAAAGGCTTCATTTGAATTTATGACCAATTATTGGTTTTCCAGATTCTGAGGTCTAGCAAACAAAAGAAAACAAAACCAAAACTACTGTCGTTCTTTATGCCCAGTTTCCAGTGATCATCCTTCATTGCAGACATTGCAGAAATTTTACTGAAGTTTTCTGTGTACTCCCTTTCCAATTAATAAATGGAAAAACACATATTTTACATTAAGGACCACATCTTTCTATCATAGCATTTCATTTAACAGAAACAGCAGGCAAACAAACCAAAGTGAAGAAATTCCATGATTTCCTATCATCTGAATCCTAAATAAATTGTATTTCATGTGTACATCCTTTATTTTTACCCCCTGAATTGATAAACAATTTCTGAAAAAGCAGAAACACAATAATCTTATAAACTTCGCCAACTACATATTCATCTAATCTACTCTTCAATTACAACAGAGAGCATGCCACATTTTCTGGTCATTAAAAACTAACACTATTTTAAAAAATAGCAGTTCTATAATATGAACACACTTTCTGTGAATTATGAATACCATCCATAAACATCACTGAATTACCCATACAAAATAGACAATAGTGAGTTTTCAACAAAATCAGTGATTCTTAGAGAAATCCTCTCAACTATCTTATTTCAAAATAGGCTTGGTAGATTAGTTTACTAGATCATCTTCTGGAGGATACTGTGAATGCTCTACTGTTTTAGACCTGAGCATCCAAAAATTCTACAATCTTTTTTTCTTTTTTTTTCCTTCATTTTTTTTAAATGCAATTCCTGGGGAGGTAGGAAGATTTGAACTGGGTACATGGTGCTAAAAGATAAGATTTAACTCTTATCATGTTCTCAATCTGAATCCCCTTTCAAGTGTCTATTTGCTGCATAGGAAAGAACATACAAATGGCTGTAAGGAGCTATTTCTGCTTAAATAATACACTTTCCTTTCTTTGTCACATTGTTTGTGGTTTCTATTTTAACTTTTTTTCCTACTGCCCAGATGGCAAATTCAAATACATGTGCTTAGGTAGCAAAGAGTGCAACAGCTTGCAATTTTCTCTCTAATATTAGGTATATTTGCAATGTTGCTTGTACAAAATATGTTGCTATATTTTTACAGTACAGTACTGTACACTAATAGTACAATTTTAGATGTGCTTACACAACTTTACACATAGTAGTCTTATTTCTAAAAAAATGTACAAAAATAACAAAAAACAGAGCTGTTCATATTAAAGAGAGAAGTTATAGTAAACAACATTAGAATTAGATCTTCAGAAACTAATTCATAAGGATGGCTGCTATATCATTTTTCAGTTACCTGTATTGTTCTCCATATTTACTTGACTTAGAGTTTTAGAAAGCCATAGCTTAAAACAAAATCTATCTTGAAGTTTAAGTACTTTGTGTATGGAACTTGCAACCCCCACCTCCCCAAGTCTTTTTTTGCAATGTCCAAAGCCTTCATAATGTCACTGGATTTCAGCAACACAATTGTCTGACCCAACTAAGCAGCTGAACACAGTTTAAACAAAGGAAAATGCAACAAATACCCCTAATTATGGAAAATCCTGGCCCTGTCCAAACATTTAACACAGCCCCATCCATGTGACATCATCACTCTGACTTTGCTGCCCTTTTTTCCTCCTTTCACCAATTCCTGGCTAGTAAAAAGCAGTGTATTAAGTGATATGTATTCAAGATGATTTCTGGAATTATAAGGAGTTGATTCAAAATGCTAATATCTAACAGAACAACACTATTTTTTAATAAAGAGATTAATGCAACTTTGAATCAGTTAAAATACTTTAAAACCCTGACCCCCTACTAGCAGTCTTTTAACTAAAATAATAATAAAACAAAACTTGGACAATATAAATACCGGTTATCTGCAACCACATAATGTCTTTGAACTAATTATTTTATTATGGAGCAACAACATTAGAGAGAATAGTGTCACTAGCTGTGGACTTTTACTTTAAAATAAGTTAATTTTAAAAAGATATTGTTTGCAACATACAGTAATCTTTCTACAACTATTGCTATTTTGCCAACTAGATCTTTACAAATAGAGAAAGAGAGCTCAACCCAAGGGTGAGCTCAACCTCCCGTTACTTCTACACTCCAAATCCTCTCCTTATGAGACTGCTTTTCTTTGCAAACTTGTGTAGAAAAACCCTCTTAAGTACTTAGCTCCTTAAAACCCAAAAGCTATTTATACTCAAGCTAGCCTTGACATCAGCCCACCCAATTTCTTTTCTCAGTGATGCAAAAAATCAGCAAAAGTTAGAATGTATTCAAATGCAAGGGTTCATATGCATTTCTTCAAGGCAAAGGTTATCCTCTTATCTAGCTTAGTGCTCTTCAAAAACAGCATGAGAAGTCTCTTGACAACAAAATGCCTAATTTCTTTTGTCCTGGTCCCAAGAGCCCATTTACCAAGGCTTTGTGGAGTTCAGAGCTGCAAGCCAAGGTTGTTTGCTTTTGCTCTTTGATGCTAATAGCAGAACTGGAATAAGGATCAGCAGGGTGACTGCCTTTGTCAGGTACAGTACAAGCCACTTGGGTAAAACAGAGAGGGAAACGGTGAAGAGCGATGGAGATGAAAAGGAACAGATGATATTGTAGCTCAGATCACTGTCATGCCTGTGGTATGAAATGTCTGCGGCATTTTATTTTAAATATTTCATGTGAATTTTGTCACTGATGAATAGTGATTCACTGTCATTCAGGCAGAAAGAAAGATGGAAGGCTTTTGTTCAGCATGTACAAACAAACTATTATGCAGGACAGGGCAAAAGCTACGTTGGGCATCAGTCCTCTTGATACAAAAGAGAATGTATGGTTCTTCAATGTCTTTTCCTAAAGAATAGCATACATGTTTGTATGCAGTACATTTAAGCCTCATCCTCCATTGTGCATATTGTGCAGTCCAAGTTTCTGAACAGACGTCAGATGGGAACAACCCCAGAATGAAAAGGAGCATCTGAATTAATACTGAAAGGCTTTTTCTCCAGTTACTGGGCCACTTGATCCCCTTTAGTTATACCTCACTTGGTGGGGGGTAGGATCAGATTCCTTGCACCCTTTGTGAATTTCAGTGGGAAATATTTTGAAATTAGAGGCATGAATGGGAAGGATTACAAGAAATATTGTAAAGCAAAGAGTTTTTTCTAGAAAGTGTCACACCTACATACATTCAGTTGCTAGTTAACCAAATCCAACAAATGTTCAACTCACATTTCCAATTCCTACCCTTTTCCTTCTGTTTCACTGCACATACTTTAGAGAGCTCCCGCTAGCCAAACTGTGCATTATGCATCTCACAAGAATGTGTTCATTCTTTTTTGGGCATAAATTACATTGTGCCATAATGTATTTTGTTTGGTTTTGACTTAAAGGGTTATGTGACTCCAGACACTACAAATTTAAAACCATCTAGCGTAGCTTGGTTTGTACACTAGAAACCTAGCCAACTGTGATTGACAAAGCTGTCCCAGCACAAAAAACTATTGTAAGAAACTGGAAAGTTGCATGGGGAGAGCTATGAGGATACAAGGCTGACTCTTTCCCTTTTATAAAAATTCCTGTTTAATGTGATGTGCAAATTTTATCTTAAAAAATAGCACAGGGCGAGTTTTTCTCAAGTTCTCACATTGTTCTATTGAAATTGTTTGTTTAAAATTTTTCATCCATATTGTCATACAATTGTTACTTGTTCTGTCTCTATGTTTTATTTCAGTCTCTCTCTCTCTCTCTCTCTCTCTCTCTCTCTCTCTCTCTCTCTCTCTCTCTCTCTCTCTGTGTGTGTGTGTGTGTGTGTGTAAGGATATCCATCCATCCATCCATCCTTATAGGTGGTTTTGGTTCTGTATTAGTATTTCAAATTCTGTCATGTCTTTCTTTCTTCAGATCATTTTTCATTTTCTTGGCAATCTGAAAATATATCAACCATGGTAGACTGCAGCCCTCATCAGTTAATTCTTTTCCATGTCTCTCTATACCTCCATCATCTATGGAGATTCTCAGTCATCCAGGTCATAGTTATCCCAAAGATGCTTTTTCATGAGGCACTGGACTTTCTTTTTTTTTTTCTTTAAAGATGTTTCTTCTTCTTGGATAAGAAGTGAAACGTCTTCAAAAAAAACCAAGAAAGTCTAGTTGCCTTGTGAAAAAGCATCTTTGGGCTGTACCTCCATCATTGGACCCATTCACATTTGATGTGAATTTAAGATGTCCTCCTACCAAGAAATAAAACTTTATTTGAATAGTCTTTGATGTTGAAGCTATACATATTCGACTCAGAACCTTACCTAATTCATTGCTATCATACAGTATATAACCTTTAATATACGAATAATATGTGCTGGATGGAGTTAATAGCCTTAAGAAATAAAGAATAAAACACTATCTCCTTTCTGAGGAAATAAGATGATGAAGTCAGGTTTTAAAATTGTATTAATAGCAAGTACATTTTAAATATCATAGACTGACTTATATTTTATTGTTGTCGTTGCCTTGAATACCATTTGTAGTTGG